ACCAAGCTGGCCCAGTATCAAAGAGTGACCCTTAAAGGTGTGGTTCCCTAGTTTAATCAATACATTTGCAGTGTACTCCAGTAGGAATGACTACCTTGTAAGTCGTTCTTGGGGGGAATAATACACTGGTGTACCATTTCTTGGAACTAGAGGGGTGTTTCTCAATGCCAAGGAACCTCGCCTTGATGACTTGGCCCTGCCCTGGTTGCCTAGGAGATACGTCATCTTTAGCCGCCAAGACGTGTTCCAATGTTCATGTTCTACTGAGGCATGTGTTCTCCGTTTGTTAGCCGTTTAGCTAGCTGAGCGAGGATACACGGGAGGTATCTTGTAGAATAGCTTTGGTCAAAGATTACCCACAATACACTGCAGTACTTTCAAAAGGACGGCGGTTCATAGTAAATGGTAAATGGCCTGTATTTGATATAGCGCCTTCCAGAGTCCTGGAACTCCCCAAGGCGCTTTACAACACAATCAGTCATTCACCCATTCACACACACATTCACATACTGGTGGGGATAAGCTACATGTAGCCACAGCTGCCCTGGGGTGCACAGACAGAGGTGAGGCTGCCGAGCACTGGCGCCACCGGTCCCTCCGACCACCACCAGCAGGCAACGTGGGTTAAGTGTCTTGCCCAAGAACACAACGACAGCGACAGACTGAGCGGGGCTTGAACCTGCAACCTTCTGACTACGGGGCGAGCACTTATCTCCTGTGCCACACATCGCCCACAGTTCAGAAGCCGGCAGCTACTTCGGGAGCAAATTTCAAGTTTAAAAGTAAGTCAACTAATGTTAAAAGTCTTTTTTAGATCCAAAGAAGTTATCTATTGTTGGTTAGTTGCTTAGTAGTTGAAGCTTCGGTGGCTAGCGAACTCACTAATATTTTTAATTTAATAAATATTTACACAATTTAAAAAGTAAAAGGCTCGTTATAAATTTATATTGAAAATTAATATGTATAAAATATGACGTTGTCTCCCGTGTCACGTGACGTTACGTGACTGCCGTGGAAGCCGTGGTCACGTGATGCAAGTCTGTTCCAGTTAACCGTTTTCTTTGACCAAGGAAGGACCGTGTCCTTGTAAGCAAGGCATCTGGCCTCGCAAGACATCGCCTCACAAGGCCAGGCACCTTGACATTGAGAAACACCCAATGTTGCCCACATAACAGCTGAGCTTCAGGCAGCAGGTTCTGGAGTCTTATTTCCTGATGTTTAGACAACTAGCCCCGGATTGGATAACAGCAACAGGACCCTTCCACTGACTTGCAATGTTGATGTTTTATCTCCACAAATGCTACAAGCCTGGATGAACTACCGCTGTGTGGTGGTGTTGCTAATGCTAACAATTAGCTTATGCTAGCCGAGACGTTCTCTGTTAATTCCCGGACGCTAAAACAACAGCAGCCTTCCCGGTTGTGAGTCAAGATGGGTGAGTCCATGAATGTTAATTCACAATGTGACGTAAATCTGCCAGGATTTTCAAATCCTAGAGTCTCACCATCTATTTTCTATCAGAAATAAACGCAGGAGATAGGTGTAGGAGACTATTTTCATGTTCAGCCTGCATGAAAAACTCAAAGTGACTATAATAATCAAAAACAATCATTTAAAAATGAGTTTTCAGTGAACCACACCTTTAATTGTTTGTAAAGCACTTTGTGAATTGCGTCTGTGAAAAGTGCTACTGTATAGAAATAAACTTCTTCTTAATTACTGGTTGTAACACTGTTCGAGGGAACAACTGTAATCATGTATTTGTGAAAATTGATGAAGAGTTTCTCACGTCACTGTGGAGGGATTTTGTTCCCGCTCCTTCTGGCAGAATTGGGCTTTTCTTTGAGGCGTGAGCATATGGAAGTACATAAGTAATTTGTTTCAAAAAGTAAATGGCCTGCATTTTTATAGTGCCTTCTCAGGGTTCTACAACCCCACAAGGCACCTCACAACACAATCATCCACCCATTCACACACACATCCATACACTGGTGATCATGAGCTACACCTTGTTTGTTGCTATCCAATTGCGTGTGCGGAGACAGGTTGAAAGACAACTGTAGAGTTAACTCTGCCTGGGGGTCATACTGTATATTGTGTATATTTACATGTACAGGATGGCTGTTTTAGGTCAAAGGTCAGACACACTTTCAGGATTTTCTGCTACAGAGCAGAATCATGGTTTCATCAAACATATCCAAGCAACCCCAGATCATCGTGCCCCCACCACCATGTTTGACTGTTGGTGAGACCTATGTCTGAATCACAGTGTCGTTTTTTGTAACATACGTCTAATTCATTGTTGAATCCCTGGGGTTAAGACCCCAACTCAACATGAACTGCAGTGCTAACCAGGTTCTTCAGCACAGGGATCTGTGTGTTGCTTTTTGAGATCATTTAGCCTTCTTCTTGTGGTCAGACAGGTGCTATTTCTGAAACCTACAGCTCTTGTATTAATCGGGTTCATATGTGGCTGGTGAAACTTAACTCATCTTTCCAAATAATGGGGAAATGTATTTGCTTGTGTTACCTTTGCTGATCTTAAATATTTAAGTGTGATAATAAGTCTATGAGGGGGAAAACCCCTTTTCTCGTCACTGTAAGGGTATATAGAAGACAAGAAACACTCCAGGTTGGGAGTAGTTGCTGCTTGCTGTGTGCTTCCTGACTCTCATCCAGCTCAAAGAGCTCCTTTTCTCACTCGTCCGCTTCAGTGTGTAACGGAGCAAAAACAAACGTACCAGACGCAAACTCTTGAGAAACACTTTTAATCAAGATGAAGATAAATAGCCTAACAAAGTACGACTTGGAAAACAAATGCGGCAACACTGTCTCTGATCATCATTTGATGGCGCACTGACACGCAGACTCTATTAAGCTGTCTTCAGATATGCAAAAATGATATGATTTTACAATGATTACATATTCACTTCCCCAGCTGGCTGGCTCCGAGCGTCTCCATTTGTCATCGACTATTGTGTCCAATTATATGATTAGCTTTGAACACTCCAGCACTTCGAGAGCTCTCGTGTGTTCTACCGTGCAGAGTGATTCACAAACAAAGTCATTACAACATGTATTCACACATATCAAATAACAAAACAGATGGCCACTGCGCCTGCCGCCTGATTTGTTTTCCACACGAGTGGTGGAAAAAAAAAGAAGTATTTTGTTTGAGCTGTGTTTAATGCTGACTGTTTTTTTTTTATTCCCAAAGAAGAGCAGCTGGCTGTCGCTCTGTTAGATCAGCGCCTATGAAAGACAATCTTGTTTTCATTAATTTCTCTACAACAAAGGCACTTGTTGGGAAGATTTAGAATTACCGCGGCTAAAGCTTCCGGATAATTCATCACTGGGACTTGACAGGAAACTTAATTGTTTTAAATGCCAGTTGCTTTGAGCAGTGGTGGATGCTTTTTCTTTTATGTCTAACAGGTGGGACAGATAGACGACCCTCTGATGTTTCAGTCGACCTTTGACTTCTTGGTTATAAATCCACTTGTAGTCCACCGGCCAATAAACCCATCCGCATGTGATGGAGTGCAAATATTCCATGTGAAATGGGAATCTTGTAGTCTGCCTTCTCTTATTTAACACAGTGTAAATCTATCTGTTCTCTATCACACATAACAACCTACAGATCAACCCCATATCACATGGAGTCAAGTAGAAAGTAGCTTATGGTGGCCTGGTTTTTACAAAAATGTATTTAAATGTAAAATTAGTAAGAAAATAAGAATTAGCAACAGGAAAAATTCATTATTTTACTTTTTAAAAGTTATTTCTGCAATGTGTAGCCATATTAAAAAGTCTCTAATCGTCCAGCTGAGTCTAGGAACAACCCAAATAAAGTAAATGTCATTAAACTGTTGGTATGGCAGCACTCGGGTGCTAAATTATTTTAAAAAAACTTCTAAAAATAGATTTTCAACCTTTAACCCTAACCCTAGCCTATTAGTGGGCTTTTTGTGTCTGCTTTCATGCAGAATTCGTGCAAAAAGTAAATCTCTAAAGGTAAAAGTATTAAACTAATTGAGTTTCCAGTTTCTCTTTTGCTGTTAATAGTGTTTACCAATTTTAACACCACTTCCTGAAAATGTGCTTTCTGTTTTAGGTTTTTGTAAATTCGTTAAACTTTTGGGTGAAATTTTGAGGTCCCTGAAAGTTCTGTGTTCTCAGTTTTGCTGAAGTGTCTGGCATTTGGTTGCATTTCCTGAAATAGTGTTTATAATTTATTTCATGCATTGGTGAAATGCGTCGACAAGCTTTTAAGCAGTTCAAGTCTCCTAAACATACTAGAGCATGCTTTTAAATAAATTAAACATGTTATTTTTTATGTTGTGTCGCATTTTTAGATTGTTAATTTCATTAAAAAAAACTGAAATCACCTCTTAGCTTGTGAGAAGTCTGTAAAACAAATCCTACAGACCAGAGTGACACAAAAGTCACAAAATTCAGTTCATAGTCAGTATTTGTCTTTTATTTGAGAATAAATTACACCTTTTACCTGCAGCAGGGGCCACAAACTGAAACGTCCCCGTGCTGAAAAAGGTTTTCTGTTTAAAGGTTAAGGTTGCAGTAAATCTTGTAAATAGCCTCTCTGACATCTCCTGAGAACGTTACTGTAAATGCACTCCGAGCAACTAAATCATTTAACATCTAATCAATACTATTCACATTGCACCATAAACACACTTTGGTCCGATTCCTGTTGGGAGAAGCTGTTACAACTGTTGTTATGTGAAAAAAAAGTTGCTTTGTGGATGTAATATTTAAAAAATAAAGAAGGTAATGAGACATTAAAATTCTGCTGTCCACATTAGAAAAGTTGAAAAAGTGCTGTGTTTAAAGCTCTGGCAGCTTAATGAAATCTAACTGTGCCATGCTGCCATCACCTGGTCGGTCCAGTTAAAGCTACTTTAAGCACATCTGTGGTGTGTGTTTGGTCCTGACCTCACATTCTTGTCAAACATTTGTCGTGAATTGACACAGCACACACATAATGCAACATGTTTAGCTTTATTTGCACACTCCGTCTCGTTGGAACCGAGGTGCTACGGACGAAGACACCTTCAGTCGTGCAGCAGCCACCAAACAAAAGGAGCAACCTTTAAAAACGTGCCCTTGTATCCTGTGGCCGCCTGAGCCTCTTTATCTTTGCTGTCTGACGTAACGAGAAGACTCGTAGGAGTTTCGGTGTTTGTGCTCAACAAAGCAAACAGTCAGATTACGTGTTTAGAAACTGCATTTTCACCTTCATGTGTCACACCTGAGCAACACACACACACACACACACACACACACACACACGCACGCATGTTCGGTGTTCTAGTGAAAAGATGCAGGGGAAAGGAGAAAAAAGCTTCCCCGGTCTCACGGGTGAGTCAATCAGCTCTGAACGCATCTGTTTTTGCCACAACAGCAGATCTCTCACACTGTGAGTGTAAATTACTCTCTGAAAACTAATTGCAGTCTTTTGATCCTTCTGATAATTAATCATTTACAGTACACACTCAGTGTTAGGTTCTTTGTACAGTGTCAGTGAAGCAGTGTGAGTTTTATATCATGGCGCTGGTCAGGTTGCTGAGAGATTTGATGCTTCCTGTGTGGGTGTGCCTGCTTTTGCGTCTCACGCTTCGCAGGTAGTTCCTGTACAGAATCACGCTGATCACCCTGTCCTGGAACTGCTTGGAGACAATGTAATATAGGATGATATCCAACACCGTGCTCGTGTTCATCAGGAATGTGGTGAAGACCGCCCAGGTGCTGAACCCACCGTCTTCACCGTTTCCCAACAGTCGGAGCACCAAACACACGTGGAAAGGCACAAAACATACCAACACCTGGATGATGAGTGTGATGATGATTCGGATGGACTTCTCCTTCACCTTCAGTTTGAGTTTGGAGGTGCGGCCGTGGATCAGATTGTCCACGATGACGATGTAGCAGCCTATCATTATACAAATGGGCACCAGGAAGAAGAAGATGAGTCTCACAAAGTTGACAGGGTTGTCGTGGCGCATGTAGATGATGTCTTGCATTTTGATGCAGGTGGTGAAGTTAGAGATGCGGTCGGGGTCTTCAGCAGAGAAGAGCAAGGGTATGCTGCTGCCTAGCGTCATCAGCCACACGCCCAAACTGCCCACCACTGCCTTTGGGACATTCCTCAGCTCCTTTCCGTGCTTTGGCTGCACGATGGCCATATAGCGGTCGGTGCTGATCAGTGCAAACAACCAGAGGGCCATGCAAGGGTAGAAAATGTTCAGAGCTGCAGTGATTCGGCAGAAAAGATCTCCAAAAGGCCAGTAGTCTTTATGGAGGTAGATCATCCTGAAAGGTATCAGCAAGATGAAGGTGAGGTCTACCAATGCAACATTTATCATGTGGACGGTGACTGAGCTTCTCTTCTTTGTCGTCAAAGCAAATACCCATAACGCTGTGAGATTAACTATGACTCCAACGGCGAAGACAACGCCGTAGAAAACCAGGCCAGAGACTCGATACGCAAAGGGGTCCTGCCCTGTGCTCACACTCCCAGACATGTTGGAGGAGTTTAGGTCCACATTCATACTGAAAAGATTCAGAAAAGACATGGGTGTTGATGTTCATCAAACTGTACAACTTAGCACAAAACGAGAGGAAATGTAAGGAAGAAGCGTGGTGGTTTAGCTCTTTTTAGTGCTTCTCAATATTGATTAGTCACTTTTGCTACAAGATGTGCTAACTAACATGCATAATCGCAAATGTACTACATTCCCCTGCAGTACTCTCCTGTTCGTCTTCACTCTTGTGTTGAGTTAATTGATTGATTGGATGATGAAAAACATACATGTTGGTCTTCTTTACACCACTGTATTGTGTGAAGCAAGCTCAGGCGTCTCATCCCTCTACCAGGAGATGTTGAAGGTACACCCTCTTGGTGTTATTGGTGACTCCAGCCCATACACCTTGACCAAACTGTGCAAGAGTTGTCAACCAGGTACCAGTCATACACCTGAGACTGAAACACACCTGGGAGACTTGATGCTCAAACCAAGAATGGATACCAACAGGAGAATGTTACTGAGGGTTTCTACACATTTTTAGGGATGCCAACAGGTTTAGCTGTGTTGCTCATTCTATGAATGCACATTCCAGTTTTCCACTGATAAAGGGTTTACTTACAATAAGCAGAAATGATCAACCCAACTTACATACCCTTACTTTTCATGCGAAGTTCATCTTTAGGTTTAATTGTCTTCTTAAACAGCTCAGCACGACGCGTCTGACATCTAAGATCAAATTTGATTCTTTGGCTAGTGTAAAAAATAAATAAATAAGTGCTCTCTTTTGTTGAAGGAGCAACCAGATAGTTTTGGTTCTGGTTTCAATCTGTAAGTTCTGTTCATACTATGTTATTTCATTATGACCCTTATTACCTGAAATTAACTAACCCTTTGATGCATAATGGTCACTACAGTGGACAAGTACTCAAAATAGTTTTATTTATTTATTTATTTATTGCTATTAAGCACAGCTGTTGAAGACTTTATTGCATTTGAGCCCCTCTATTTGGACTTCAGTAAATCAAGCCAACATATTTCATGTTCAGAATGCACGCTGTCCACTGAGGTGGACATGTAATAAATTATTTGGAAATCATTAAATGTTACAAAAATATTTGTTGACATTTGTTTCATTCACACCTAAAGATGAATGGAAAAATAATGTTAAAAGAAATCATGGTTGAAGATTTCATAATTCATGCATCAAAGGGTTAAAAAAGCTACAAGAAAGAGAAAAGTTTACATTGATTAGTTTTCATAGTGAAAGTGAAAGTTATAAAAGAACATTTCTAATATTAATTATGTTGACAGATGCTTATATTGACCCAAATAGAACAAAATGGAAAAATGTAATCAAATCAACATTTTGGGGGGGCGGCCTGTGGGCTAAACAAAGTCATAGACACTATTGAGAGTAAAACCTTACAAATGTAGGTTTCATTAAACAAATCTATGAAAGAGAACATATTTAACCATTAGTTTTGTTTATTATGCATCTTTTTTCTGTTCAGTTTGGGGTTTAAATGTTTGTTTGTTTTTTACCACAAACTGAAATGTCATCTTTACCCCAGAAAACGGTAAAATGTCTAGAGACATTACAAAGTGCGTGATAACTTACTTAAGCTGAAGCAAATCATCCGTTAGTCCAGACAGGTGAAATCTAGAAGGAAGGATAAAGAAAACTGTCCTTAAACATATCTTTTCTTTTTGTAGTATGGCCCAGTGTTTGTTTCTGGGCCACACAGCACAGTGAGGTTTCCTGAACAGGATCCTCTGTGATTGAAATAGAAAGTATCTGCCTCTAAATATGGAAATGTTTACAGAAGCTGCTGGTTAGACATTAGAATATCTATTTATAAAAGCTGTGCAGCTGTATTGCAAATGACAAACAAAGGCAGATCTACTTTTATATAAAACTAAAGAAAAATATTGGGTCCCAAATAATAAAACTATTGAAAAATTGTGTCAAGTAGTAAAAGTTGAGAATTTTGAGTTCTTTTAAAAAAACATTGTGACGTCAGAGCTTTTCTACATTTTAGCATCTCTTCTCTTTCATTAAGTGACATTTAAGAGATTTATTTAAAGCCTTAAACGTAATAAATAAAGAATATAGCAAATTAGAATCAGCACTGAAAACTGTCATCCAACTGTAAAACATATCTGCCATCAATCTGCCGTCCCATGATGTCAAATCTGAAGCACATCAGGAAGAGCTGCTGGGGCAGTAAAAGACTTCACTTACCAAGGGAATCAAACACCTTGACCAGTTCACCCCAACAGGTTTATGGAGCTAAAATGTGAGTGTGTGAGAGGAGCTGTGAACCCTCTGCTGTGAGAGCCAAAACAGGGAAGTGAGACAGAATCTGAAATGTGATGGTGGCGAGACAGAACGCAGCATAAGAGCCCCTCGCTTCACTTCCTGTGAGCTGTGCTTTCTGCACTTTTACATTCCTTTACAGTATCCGCGTGGTCGGAACAGAGAGAAAGAGCTGTACGGCTTTCCGCAGCAACGCAATTACACCCCCTTAAAGAAAATGATGTGCCATTAGAAGTGGGAGTGTGTTTGGCAGGCAGAGAGATGGCAGATTTAGGGCGAGTTATTGATTGGAAAAGTGGGGTCTGTCACAGCACATTAGTTCTCAGGGGAGTAATCCACAGCAGGTTGCTGTGAGAAGCATCTGCTGCTGGAGAGAAGTAATTAAAAACAGGATGTTGAGGCAGTTGCCATATAAACAGGAAATAAGACGGTGGTAATAGACACTTCACGCTGATGCTGTGAGATGGTTTTATATCACACTGACTTAATGGATGCAAAGCGCATACTTCAGGTGAAACGCTCAAGGTCAGCCGGCACCAGGATTGAATACAGATTAATGTGCGTGATTAATTTGGGTTTGAGCTGCTAACAGCCATAAATTAAGACACCCGGTTCAAATAACGTTGAGCAATATAAGACTTCTCCCCCCGATCGACCAGCAGCTGCTTTCAGTTCCTTAGTGAAACAGACACAAGCGTATTTTACCTTAACTTCCTGTATTCCTCCAACTGTAACTGACCTGCTCTGACCTTTACATCTGCCTGTCAAATGCCTTGATTTTGCTAGAATAAAAACTTCATATTGCATAAAGTTGATCGCTGCGTTTTCAGATCATTTCCGTCTAATTCTTATTCCTGGGAAATAATTACCCATCGGCTCGTCCTCTTGATGTGTTTCAAAAAATCTCTGAGCAGATGGTGCTCGGTGTACATTGCAATATGTTGTTATGACAACAGTCTGTGTGATGTTTTCCTCTCTTTGAAACTTGTCATGTGGTTGCCTCGGTGAGTATTCCACCCTGCACAAAATGCTCCATAAATCACCTCAATAATGAACAATATGCGTGCATGAGCGCATTAAACTGTGCTGCTGAACAGAAAACTGTGGATTTTCCTCTAAGCTTTAATGTTTTTCTTTCCTTGTGAGTTTTAACAGATGAAAAATAAAAATAAATTAAAATAAATTGCTATAAAAATGTTCAGTTTTATTGCAAGAGGCCTTTATATATCATAGTCCTTTTAACCTGTTTTATACTGTCCTCTAGAGGCTGACATGAATTACTACAGATCTGTCTCTGTGCCCTGTAATGATGCCATAAACCTCACACATTTCATCATAACTGATTACCCACTTTGTTTTCAGTTTATATTTACCTTGAATGGAGGAATTGGGGTTGAAACATTAATTTTGACCTGGACCTTTTAATGAGAGTGATGTGTTGAGTTCACAGCAACAGTACATTTTTTAATGGCTCTAAATCAGTCGAGGGTCTGTTTTAATAACTGGAGAGAGCAGGAATGGATGGAAACCAGTTCAATAAATAAGGGTTTAGAAATAACATTTAGACCAACGATTATTTAATTATCAACTTGAATATTTTAAATCAAAACACCTAATCAAAATCCATCTAAACTTAAAGGTCAACTTAACTCGTATTTTTACTACATTTGCAGTGGTCTCTAGTAAGAGTGCATGCCTTGTAAGTCACTCTCTGGGGATAAAATGCTCCGGTGTGCCTATTTGAGGATGTAGACGGCCCTGTCCCAATGCACACACGTCCACTCTTGTGCCCCTCAATAGTGCGTTCCTCTCCAGGGATGAGTAGGATGTCCCAATTTTCAAATGTGGACATTGGCCACGCCCCCTTTGCACCCTTGATCCACACTTTGCTAAAGTTTGCATCATAATATCATTCAGTACGATTATACTGACTGCAAAGTCCATAATAAAATGTTATCATTAAAAATGATTTTCTAATAATTTCCAGTCGAGAAATAATAGCATTTGGAATATTTGGGGAAAATCAAATCTTCAATATTAGAACCAAATTTTCATCAATTCCTCTTTTACCCCAAATTAAAGAAGTTCATTTTATGACAACTAATGATATTCATCTGAATTCATTTGAAGTTTTGAGACAAAAACTTAATGTGGACAGTTAAAAATGATAATTTTGTCAAATTATTGCTTGCCAATGATGCAATGCTCCTTGACCCAATTTGGCAATTATTTGCACACGTATGTACTTTGCACCCGAAGCCTTACATCGCACTTCCTCCTAGTGCACTTTGCCGATGACCATAGGGTGCAGTGTGAGTCCTGGGACAGGGTCAAAGCCAAAGGAGAAGTAGATTGGAGTTTCTAAAAATACAGCTTTTTTTTATCCAGAAGAGCTTTCAGACAAGGTTTATGTATGTATCGTTTTGGGTGTTGTACATTTCCACTAAAAGCTAAAGATGGTTGATAATGTTTACGAGACTCCAAAACTAAAAGTTTCCAAGAAGTGAAAAGGAAAGCTAAACCTTATCTTTTAGAACAGACGATCTTTGGGTTCTCACAAGACCCGTTTCATTGTACAGTCAACCTTATAATCGTAAACATTTGTGAAAGGTGACCCCCAGAGTTCATCTGTGTGACAAAGGTAGATTGGTGGATGTGTGAGGATTTTCCCAACAGCAATAACAGACAGAAATGTTTAAATGTTGTATTTTTGATCAGATAGGCATGGAACCACCGCTGATTTGAAAGCAGTGTGAGACATTTAGGAAGATAAAATCTGCTGACGTGTATTTAGCACTTTCAGAAGCCCTGAGTGAGCTGCTTCTTCAACACTATCTGTATCTTTTTCTGGCCTAAACTGGTTCTTTCATTGGTTGCATTGATAAGCATATTTTCTCAAAGTTTACAATTACCTCGAGGCAGTCTCGCCGGTTCCACCGGCCCGGCCCAACGCCGAACCCGGTGCGGTTCCACCGGTGCGGTTCCACCGGCCCGGCCCAACGCCGAACCCGGTGCGGTTCCACCGGCCCAGCCCAACGCCGAACACGCTACTGCATCCGCTTGTGAGAGAGGAGGGAGGGGGGAGATAACGAAAAGACAAAGATACATCATGTGAGGGATCAAGCCAAATGAGTGGAGGAACACAGGCAATTTCCAAAAATAGAGATTCTTTAATTTCCTTTTTGTTTTAAAATATCCTCACAAAAACAGCTCGAGCTCATAAAAGAGGTCAAACAAACAAACTGAAACTAAATAAACTTCTAACTTAACATACTGACTGACTGAAACCATAACCGACCTTTTCAAACAAAGACACACAAGAGTATATGTACACACTGGCTGATCAGACCATATGAACAATAGGGATTACTAGACAAAGATTTACTAACTAAAACTAAAACCACAAATCAGTACAGTCAGATTGTTAATAAACCTAAACACCCTAACCCATAAACCTAACTATTTAACTTCAAACTTAAAGTAATTAACAAATGACAAAATAATAAAATAAAGGAAATTCTTCAGTCCCCTCTTCAGGGAGCTACTGATTTGGTCCCATCAGCTCCTCCTTTATTTAGCTGACAGAACCCCTTCAACCCTGTTTGCCTGTCCCATCTCAGGAAGCAGGAAGTGGAGAACCTCTCAGCACCGGTAAGAGAAAACAAATCAACTTAAATTGAACAAATGAAAGGCATAAAATACAGCAGTTAACTAAATGTGTGCTCTTACAATTAGAACTAATGCATTTAAGCCATCTAAACAATAAATCCCAAGAAATATAAACATAAAAACTGAAATCATAAAAGTGCGTGAGTGTACTAACGTTCACAGTTGTGTGGACATGGATGTGGCCATCACATGCCCCCCCACTCCGTTGTCCTCACAGCGTGAGAGGTAGTCGGCTGTGGTATTTTCTCTGCCAGGGATATGTTGAACCTTGAATCTGAATGGTTGAATGGCAAGATACCATCGGGTTATGCGCCAATTAGTATCCTTCATTCTGTTAAGCCATTCGAGTGCCTTATGATACGTTTGAAGAGTGAATTCTCTCCCCAGCAGATAGTACTTAAATTAATCCAGAGACCACTTTATGGCCAAGGCCTCTTTTTCCACTGTTGCATAGCATCTCTCTCGGGCCTACAGCTTGCGACTGATGTAAGTCACAGGATGCAGCTCCTCTGATGTTCCTTGTAGAAGGACTGCCCCAAACCCCTCTCAGAAGCATCAGTCCGCAGAATGATGTCTCTCTGAAAGTCTGGAGAGTACAAGACTGGTTCCACACTCAAGGAATGCTTAATGTCTTGAAAAGCTGCCCGGGCCTCCGCAGTCCACCGGATTTTGTTGGGGCTATGTGAGCCCGTCTTATCAGTCAATGGCGCTGCCTTTGCAGAAAAGTTGGGGACAAATCCGTGGTAAAATGAGGCCATCCCAAGGAACGACCGCAACTGCTTCCTAGTCTGTGGAACAGGACATGTTTCGATTGCATGAACTTTATCAACCTGGAGCTTAATTATCCCACTCTTGACACCAAATGTGAGGGATCAAGCCAAATGAGTGGAGGAACACAGGCAATTTCCAAAAATAGAGATTCTTTAATTTCCTTTTTGTTTTAAAATATCCTCACAAAAACAGCTCGAGCTCATAAAAGAGGTCAAACAAACAAACTGAAACTCAATAAACTTCTAACTTAACATACTGACTGACTGAAACCATAACTGACCTTTTCAAACAAAGACACACAAGGGTATATGTACACACTGGCTGATCAGACCATATGAACAATAGGGATTACCAGAAGCTCTGGTGTTGTGCACAGTTAACTCCGGTTGTAGCTAGGTTTCTACCTCTGTTAGCTTAGCTCCCACCTCCGCGTTAGCTTTGGGTTAGCTTCAGGTTAGCTTGTAGCTAGTTCGGCCGGGTGTCGTCAGTTGATCCCAGCCTCACAGCCACACCCTCAGCTCTACGTCTCTTCCCTTTTGTTGAATTGTCTGGGCTTGACGGAACCTGTGACACGGTCAAAATGGCGGTGGTGGCCACCTCCCATTTATCTTCAAAAATGTGTTATTGGAGTCTATGGAAACCCATTGTCCAATATTTATATGTCGATGGTACCTGTCCCTTTGACCTGTTCCTTTGACTACAACCAGCAGGCAAGAAAGGTGAGGTGTTTAGTCCAAAGGCACAACAACTGTGGCAGACGGAGTGGGGCTAAAACCTGCAAACCTGGGCAGGCACTTAACTCTTCTGCCACTACAAAAATAAAAAATGTTTTATGTAAAACTTTCTGCTAAGTGAGTGTTACTCCTGTCTTCTTGTTTTCACACTCTCAATTTATTATTTCCACCAAAAAAACTGCATCTCATGACCTGGAAAGGATTGTTTGTGGTCCTGACGTACTCTGCAGGTGTGTGAGGCATTGCCTGTTGTGTGTGGCGCCATATGCCAGAATGAAAACAAAAAACTGGGCCTATTTACAGAATATTCTCACTGTATATTATTTATTTACAGAAATTATTACAGAACTTCACAAAATTTTCAATGAGAAAAAAAGGTATGAATTATAAAAAACAAACATAGGTACATACATCCCTATAAAACCACGTAAAGACGTTTACATTTCTACTGAAGATTAAACTTATTCATACAACATACAGCTTTTCTTTAAATGTTATTTGTCTGTTGTGACATTGCAAATTATCATTAAGAATGTGTGGAACTAAGATTTAAAGGGATTCTAGCAGGTTTGCTTGTTTTTAGCACCCCCTAGTGTCCGTTAACAATAATCCGTGGTCACAGCAAAAGTGAAACTTATCTCCTCGCTGGGCATTTGACTTTTTAACACCTTAAACCAGGGATGCCCAATCCTGGTCCAGCAGGTTTTGTGGTTTCATACTTGATTAAATGGTTGAATCACCTGTGCAGCAACTCCTTGGGCTCCGCACAAGCCGGTTAATCACCTATTGATTGAAATCAGATGTGTTGATGTAGGGTTAAAACTAAGAGCGTTTCTCAATGCCAAGGAACCTCGCCTTGATGTCTTGGCCCCACCCCGGTTGCCTAGGAGATACGTCATTGGGAGTCGACAAGACGTGTTCCAATATTCATGTTCTACCAAGGCGTGTGTTCTCCATTTGTTAGTCGTTTAGATAGCTGAGCGAGGATACACGGGAGGTATCTTGTAGCCTAGCCTTGGTCAAAAATTACCCATAATACACCGCAGTATTTTCAAAAGGACGTCGGATCTGAAGCCGGCAGCTACTTCGGGGACAATTTTCAAATTTAAAAGTAAGTCAACTAATTTTAAAAGGTTTTTTAGATCCAAAGAAGTTATCTATTGTTGGTTAGTTGCTTAGTAGTTGCAGCTTCGATGGCTAGCGGGTAGTAACACACAATTTAAAAAATAAAAGGCTTGTTGTATGTTGTTACAGCTGTTGCTGTTTGTCTCCGAGATCTGACGCTAGAGGACAATCAGTGCATTGCCTCCTTCTCCTACCTGCACAGCTGCACTCACTTGGGCTGATCACCTCCTGAGCAGCATAAAAGGGAGAGCTGCCAGGAGGAAGGGAGAGGATGAGGCACTTGACCTTCTAGACGGCGGTCCAGCTTCGCTTCGGCCTCAGTTGAGGTAGAGGACGGGGTGGAGGGGAGCGAGTAAGGCTGTTCAGCCGGTTGGGTCGGGGGCAGCGAAGCGGGACCGCTCCCAAACATTTGTGAATGTTTGGGAGCATTCGGATGTCTTTTTTCAACGCAAACCCTTGAACATTTTAACAGTGTTAAAGATATAGATTTGGAACTTTGTGTCATTTTAAAATCCTTTTAATCAAATCATTGTTTACAATTTTAACACCTGAAACACATGCCTCTGTGTTACTCCCTGTCCTTCTCCTTATCCACCAATAGAGGGCGTAACATATGTTTATATCGAAACTAATACATAACGTTGTCTCCCATGTCACGTGCCATTACGTGACCGCCGTGGAAGCCGGGGCCACTTGATGCAAGTCTGTTCCTTGTAACCGTTTTCTTTGACCAAGGAAGGATAGGGTCCTCATAAGTAAGGCACCTGGCCTCGCATGGCCAGGCGCCTTGACATTGAGAAACACCCTAAAACTTGCTGGACGCCGCCCAGCCCTCCAGGACCAGGTTGGGGCACCCCTGCCTTAAGTCTTAGGCACACTGGAGGGAGACGCGTCGCGTTGCACCCACGATTTTGAGAAGTTAAGAGGTCACACAGGACGTGCTGCACTTCTTGGAAAGTCGCACAACAGTCACAACATCACTCAGGACTTGAGAACAGGAAGCGGGAAGTGACTCTATTGTTTATATGTGATTAGACTTGTCGTCGTGTTTTGTGAGATTAATTAATAAAAAAATTGGTACGTACGCTATCTATTAGAATATTTTAAGATTAATAGTACTTTAAAGTTATCAAAACTGCGGTTGGATTTGTGCCGTAAAGCCGTCGTAACGTCTGTTGAAAAGAACTCCCCAATGTTTTAAACAAAGATAGATAGAACTGGTGCTAATCTTCAGCGCCTCAGTGTGGCCGTTCTAGGTAGCGGAGCTCCCCGTGTAGTCACTCTCAATAACTATAATGGCTTCTATTTTAAAAAATGGTGCAGTTGCGATGCGGCACGACACGGCGTGTGTGCCTCCGGTGTGCCCCAGGCTTTAATCTAACAGCTGAAAATGTCTCCTCAGCCTTCGTTAGTTTCTATAGGAGCAAGTCACCACTAAATGAAACAAATCAGCTGTGTTGATGATCTAAAACATGCAGGAAAAGTGCTGGGAGCAGACTGCAATGCCAGGTATGTCAGCTCAATTTTATTCTAGGTCAGCATATGGCAGCCTGACACTCTAAAGTTGCAAATATGGTATTCTGGCCACAGAGGTCATTTTAACACATACTGGCTCAAGGAAATCATTAAAAATATGAAAAGGTTGCATGCTATCCCTTTAATGGTGGTGTAAAACATTTTATGTTTGCTCTTGCTCATTAATTGATGGTTGAGAAACGGAAAACTGATGATCACTTGTGTTTAGAGCGGACGATAAGGGTCTTTTGCATTGATGTAACACTGTCACTTATTCATTTCCTTTCTTTGCTGGAAAAAATGTTCAGGTTTTTTTTCCTTTGTCTGCATAGCTGCAAAAATGTTGCATCTCATGCTCATTTGACAAATGTCAAGTCGTTGCTCAAAGAGATGATGTGCTCATTTAATTAAAAGAAATAAGATTAAATCCTTTGTTAGAAATAATCCACTGAATGCTGATAGATTGCAGTATTGATGATCAGCTGTCGACAGTGTCGAGCAGCAGTTTGTCTTCAAAGCTGTTTCAGTCTCACCAAAGTTCTCAACTTTGATCAGTCGAGTTTAATCTCCTTTCGTTTATTCTTTCAGAGTTCAGTTGGATCTTGTTGCCGTCAGTGTAGTCCTTGGTGGAACCTTCTGGTGTCCTCACTGCACTGGAGAAGGAAATGCTGCCCTGTAGCTTCAGCAGCTTCAGGAGCTTCCTTTTGTATCCCTTACAGGCAAAAAAGTAGATAAATGGGTCCAAGCAGGCGTTTAAGTTCATCAAACACACCGTTATGTGTAGCGACACCTGGAAGGCGGTCAGATCGGTGCAGTCGGGGTTCGACACCAACTTGCGGATCATGTACTGTAGGAGGTCAATGTGATAAGGACTGAAACAGACGACGAACACCACAGAGACGCAGCAGATCACACCGATGGCCTTTTTACTGCGGCCAGACTTCTCAGTTAAATGGTTGGTCTTAGCCGATAGGCGGAGTTTGGAGCACAAGACGGAATAACAGACCAGGATGGTGACCACAGGGATGATAAATCCTAGAAAGACCCCACCGATCAGAATGGTGGAAATGTTGTCCACCTTTTCAAAGTTGGGGTATTCCATACAGGTGATGTAGCCTCCATCTTCACTGTTGGTCATAGGCATGCCAAAGAGGGGGAGCGTCTGTGCCAGGACCAACAGCCACACACCAACACAGATGTAACGGACGTTTCCCACTTTCCTAAACTTGCCAAAGCGCAGGGGCAGGACCACGGCGATAAAACGGTCCACGCTCAGGCACGTCATGAAGTTGACTCCTGCATAGGTGTTCATGTAGAAGATGAAACCTGAGATCTTACAGAGCACTTCTCCCAGAGGCCAGTGGAAGCCCTGAGCATAGTAAAGCATCCTGAGAGGCAGGGAGAGAGTGAAGAGGATGTCCGAGATCACCAGGTTGAGAGAGTACAGAGTGGTGGAGTTGAGTTTCTTCTGATTGGCTCGGATGACGTGGAGGGCGAGGCAGTTTCCAAGCAAGCCCACAGAAAACACAATGCTGTAGAAAAGAGGTATGAAGATGCGCGCGTAAGCCCGGTGGTCATAGAGGGTCTTACAGGACGTGTCGTTGGGTAAGATGGTCATGTTTATGGTCTCAGAGGTCGAAACCATCTTGATGTTTCAGGAAGCAGTGACTGAAAAAAGGAAGTAAAACAAAACCTGTTACAACTTGAACACATTTTTGTGTCTTTTCTCTTTGATTTTCTGCAAACATCGTGCCGTTGGAAACTAAAGCAACGCGGCACAGAAATGAAACTCGTTCTCTTCAGTCTCAGATCAAGACCACACTCAAATCCACACTTTCAAACAGGAAGCACAGGAAGCCTCTTTTTTTCTCCTTTTCTGAAATTAGCTTTGGAAAAAGGGACACACTTTTTGCCAACATTGTTTAGCATTACAGCTTTTGTGCTGATTTATTTAAAGCTAATCTCAAATGAGAGACAACAGATTAACAACCATTTGCAATTCATACTGTAGTTTTAAATGACTTTAGCTCCATCTTGTGGCTATTCTAAGCAAACCTCACACTGACTTTTTCACACTCCACTCATTACAAAATTCAGCAAAATTAAAAAAGTTAAAGAAAAAAACTGTAAAAAATATTTTTTTATTATTTTGTATTTGCATTACTTACTAAATGTATTCAATGTGACCCATTTATTTTGGCTTTTTAGTAACAACCTCATAATTTAAACTTTTACAGTCTGATGGCAACATTTATAAAATAATACTAAAACTGCAGGTATGAAAATGGGATCTAATGTCCAACAGGTATTTCTTTACTAGTCTTTGCTAAATCCATGTGCATTACATGTGTTTTTAGTGGCAAGGAAGTCAGTGAACAATAACACCACTGGGTATGAATATAACCGCAACACACTCGTGTTAACGCAGCAAAAACAAAAACGAGAGGCGTTAAGAGACATGCCCTTGTGCATGAGGAAGTCTACTTCCCCATGTTGTTCAGCTCCAAATGAAGGATGTTGGAGAGTTGAACTCTTTCAACCTAAATTTTAATCAGGAGTAGTGCAATTTGGTGCAATTTGGTGCAATGAAGCATGAAATAAATCTCCTTGTCCAGAAACAGAGGCGTGTGGTGTGTGTGATGCAGCGGTGTGCTAAAGGAAGCATTTATATGTAGGTTGATTTAAGAGAGAATGTTTAACATACATTTTTGTGAGATTACAATGGTTCATCAGCATCGTAAGTCCTTCTTTTTTTATCTTTGACATCTAACAGCATCAAAGCCTAATAACCATTTAAAATATGAAATAAAAACAAATCAATTCCTCTTCAACAGACTTCCAGAGGATCAGCAGTCTTTAAAGTGTCTTTTTTTGTCTAGATTATAGTTTTGCAAATTGTTTCTCAGCTCAAAAACCGAACCAAACCTGAACATAACCAGTTCTCCTACTAGTCAAGGGCACTTAATTAATAAGTTTGTATAACTGTAAGAATGAAGCTAGACGTACCTCACAGATGGAAAATGCTGCTCCTCAGATTTACTGAAGTCACATTGATCCACGGGATGTAAGTTTGTTAAAGACGCCGACAACTCAAAAGTCACTCCCTCGTGACAAAACAACCTGGCAACCAGAAATCTAGATTAATATCTGCTGTAGGTCACCATAGTGACTAAATATCCTGTTAAAGCTTCCCCTCCCTCTCTCTCTCTCTCTCTCTCTCTCTCTCTCTCTCTCTCTCTCTCTCTCTCTCTCTCTCTCTCTCTCTCTCTCTCTCTCTCTCTCTCTCTCTCTCTCTCTCTCTCTCTCTGTTTACACCAACAAAAGTTCTAAGCCACGCCACGGTTCGTTATCTGAAGCTATTTCGTTTCAAAGTGAAAAATCTCGTCAGCTGCAGAGCTTTATCTGGGGAAGAGAAAATCTAGGTTTCCAGTGGCATGGTGTGCCATGTGTGTGCACTCAGGGGAGGATGTGGCGTCAGCTAAAGAGCTGACACTGGCCAGAGGTTTCAACAGTTTTCTCACAACCTTTAAAACACCTGTTTAGTTGTGTTAGTCATTTAAAAGTGCCCACCACAAATCCTTGAAAATACCCAGATAGGGTCAAATAAAACACGCCTTTTTAATTCCAGTGCTAACAAACCCCTACCCTTACACAAATGACTGGTTGCACAAAGGGAAGTTCCTCATTATATCAGAAGTAGAAAACATCTGTGTTGATGGTTTGAGTTCTGAAAAACGATTGAGCTTGCACTTTCTTTTAATTAGTCAGGAAATCATTGGTTTCCTTTGCGTGACAAATGCCAATAAACAGTCGTAAGGTTTGGCTGTAGATGTTATCTAATAAATTCTAGACCTTGGTTTTAATGAGAGATAGAAAAAGTTATAAATACATTAGAAAGAGAAAATTAATTATAATAGTAATTATGAGATGGATTTTTCACCTTATTACAGTTTATTAGACTAAGGCCCTGTCCACACGTAGCCGGGGATCTGCCAAAACGTAGATATTTTTCTACGTTTTGGCCTGTCATCCACACGAAAACGGAGTTTTTTCACACGAAAACGGATCTTTTAAAAAACTCCGGCCAAAGTGAAGATCTGCGTTTTCTCCGTTTTGGGTGTCTGCGTGTGGACGAACAAAACCGGAGTTTTAAGGTCCGCAACGTCACTTTCCGCGACAAAAAAAATGCTGACATCACGTGTGCGACCTGTGTTTACACTAGCCGGCATCACGGAAGCCTTCAGAGCTGTGCTCTGTCACTACCCGATCCATCAATTGTCCAAGCGCTTTCTGCTTGTTTGTTTTTGCAAGAGGAATTACTGCTCCTTGCGGAAGACCACAGACGAAGGACGAGGTTAAGAACGGGAGAAGTACTGCCGCCTACAGGTCTGGCATGTCCTTAACAACGTATTTATCCGGGTACGTGTGGACAGTCTGTTTTTAAAACGCGGTGGTGTAGATGCAAGTTTTTGGAGGGGCGGATATTCGTTTTTAAAAAACCCCGGCTACGTGTGGACTAGGCCTAAATCTAATCAAGAGAGGAAAACTCCTAATTTGAAATACCAGCCCTAAAAAACTAACTACAAATTCCATTTTTGGTTCTTTTTAAAACACAGGAAAGGTTTCTCTATACCTTGCTGACAGTTTTGTTTGCCGACGGCAAAATATCCTCAGACATCCTCTGCTGCCCGTGGATAAATGGAGTAGGAAGTGATGCCACCATCAGCGTCGGCTCTGAGGATGTTTTGCAGTCGGCTAACAAAACTGTCAGCAGGTAAAGAGAAACCTTTCCTGTGTTTTAAAAAAGAGCCAAAAATGGAATTTGAAGCCAAACACAGAGAACGTACCAAAGATAACTAACTGCAAACAAACCACTTCCCAGTCCACCTTCACAGACGCGTCTGTACACTGTTCCATCCACTCAGTTGTGTCATTTCACGCAGTCTGCCTGCTGGGATAGATTCTGACTTGTATAGCTGTTGTGTTGAGTGTCTGATTTTCTGCTCTCTCTCTGGATCTGGGAACAGAGTTTATTTTGACTTTGGTCTTCATTTTACAGACAAGAATCTCTAGATTATCGCATTATATTGCAAAAAGTATTTGATCACCTGCATGGCATCTTAATCTTGATCCTGCCAACCCAACAGTTCTATCTATTTTGCGACAGCTTTCCACATTGCATTTCTTGGTTCTTTGAAAACACATTATCAAGAGTTGCGCTTTACCTTGTTTTGCTAACGTTTCAGCTAATTACTAGCCATCCTCAGGGCTGAGCCGATGTTCCATGTTCCTGTACAATGGCACAGCTCTGAGGATGGCTATAGTAGTTAGCTGAAACGTTAGCAAAACAAGGTGAAGAGCAACTCATTTTTTTATGTGTTTTCAAAGAACCAAGAAATGCGAGTTGACAAAATATACAGAATTAACGTACAGAAAAAGCTTTCCAAATTATTCATGGGTATTGCATAAACACATTTGTAGGATCAGCCACTGTTGGACAAGAAGACATGACTCACAGTCCTCACCCCACAACCTGATTTATACTGCTCTACCATCTGCGTCGGTGGAAAGACACGCAACAGCATTATGCATTGGTGCAAGGGCTCTCCGAGGGTGACGGACACATGTCCAAAATTTTAAACATGTGTCAAAAGTGATGGAGACTGGAAGCTTGTGATTGGTCAAGAAGCTGCTTCCTGTAAATCCGTCACCAGCTCCGCTGATGCCCTGTTAAAAGTAAAAAGATATTTAGCGGCAGACCCAGAACAGACTGAAGAACGCATTGCGGGAAAAGTCCAAAATTCACCCGTGAGTGAAGGAGTACAAAATATGGCGCAAACGTGGATGGAGACGACGGGAAAAGTGGGTTTAGAGGTGGCAACCAAATGAAGAGTTGGAGGAGAAAGAAGGACAAACGTGTCCATGTTATGAAGTCTCTGAAATATATAAACACAATAATAATTGCACTATCAGGGACCGGGTACATGAGCGTTATGGTGGCAACACACCACAGAACAGTGCTACGCCCTCTGATGTCCTGGCGGGGAATTGCTTGGGATCACTCCGCTGCCTGAACAGAAGTTCGAACGTGAAAACCTTTCTGACACTCTGCGTTACGGAGCTCACAGAGAAGTATACATCAGGCTTAAGGTGTGCTGAAGCAGGCAAACAAACAAAAGATGCTGGATAGGGGTTTATGAGGACCAAGGTTGGGCAAACCTGCTCTAAATCAGCAACAGTCAAATTCCTCCACATCTAATTGACCCATTCATGTCTTTATAGAACATTTGAATGCATCGATTTGGAGGGATGGCATGGTACTTTTGGTATACAGTAAAAAAAAAAATTAAAAAAAATGGAAAAAGACCAAGCACTGTGTCAGATTCAGACCTACTGTGTTGGTATATGTGGGCAACCCTGATTACATCAATGCAGCAGTAAGCACATCTTCTTGTTCCGCATCTAGAGATTGTAGCTACTTTCACAACAGCATTGTGCGTCGACATCTGCAGGCGAACTCCCAGAGGCTATTTTGTTAACTCATTGTAGACTATTGTTACTATTAGCATTACTTTTAGCATCAAACCCCTTCTGAATTAAGAGTATTCAGATGGAGAATTGGGATTAGAACCTTTATCAAAAGCCCATCGTATTAGTCCTTTACATGTCTTCTGCCCTCTGATGGAGGAGATTGAAGGATGTATTGTTGTAGCCAATGTGAACCACAGTATGTGAACCACAGTATCACATAGAGCAAGGCTATTCTATTCCGGGCCTCAAGGGCTGGTGTCCAGCATGCTTTAGTTTTATGTTTATGTTTAATTATTTGGCAGACGCTTTTATCCAAAGCGACTTACAATTTATAACCTATAGGGCATGTTGTGATCAGTGGGGGAAACCGGAGTACCCGGAGGAAACCCACGCATGTATGGGGAGAACACACAACTCCACGCAGAAAGGCCACAGCTGAGTTTTGAACCTGCAACCTTCGTGCTGCGAGGCAACAGTGCGAACCATGCAGCCACATGCAGAGGTTTTAACCCTCTGGAGGCAGGCGTTGCAGACTTGCAAAAGTTAAAACCTACCTACCTGGTTACTCCACATACGTGTCTCATGAGCATTTTTTTACTCGGAAGTACCCCTGAAGGACTTAGTTGTTTGTTCTTTTATCAAAACTTATGTTGAGCCTGAGAGGGTTAACCCTGCTTCAACACATCTGATTTCAGCAGGTGATTAACAGGCTTCAGCAGAGCCTGATGAGCTGCTGCACAGGTGATTCACCAGTGAATCTGGTGTGTTGGACCAGAGAAATCACTAAAGTGTGCTGGATACCAGCCCTCGAGGCTCTAACTTGAATAGCCCTGACATATAGAGTTACTGTTCTGAATTAAGTAAACCTTGTGATTTTTCCAATAAACAATGTCAAACTTCTGTGTTTGTGAAAGTGTTACATTCCCTTGCCACCATCCACAAATACCCAGCATGGGATTCACCCCTCTCAGTGCGTTACAATACATAGTTCACTCACATCTCCAGGATTGCAGTGGTCTACCAGCCAGTCTATGGGCTGTTTGCATTAGGTGCCTTAATTGTATTGCACATTCATCTCAATGCTTCCGCTTCCACTGCACACTGCTGAAAGACAGCTACAAGAGATGCTTCCAGGAAAACCCCAAAACTGCCATAAGCAATATACATTATTAACTCATTCACTGCCATTGACAACTAAAGCCAATCGCTTGCTGCCTTTGATGACTGTAGTTGCCAATTGCATTTTTTAACAGGGCGAGCTTGGGAACAAGTGCACCATCAGAGTAAGCATCCCACCTCTAAATTTGATTTACATCTGTGTGTGTCACACGTCATGACCATGAACCAGACAATCCATGTATTAGAAGATCGTTTTGGGATGCTGCAATGCCTAAAGCGAGGCATTAACCAGAAAAGCTTTTGCAGCTCACTCTTCCGCCAACGTATTGCGAAAGACTGGAAAAAGCTAGAAACACGTTGATTCTTCCTGATGTAAGAAGCAAATCTATTCTTTCTTTTGTAGTTTTGGTGTTTACATGGTCATAGAGCACAATATTCTGTGACAAAAATGCTCAAAAACGCTGACAGTCAGGGGCTTTCTGATCAGAAAACGGCTGGCAGTGAATGAGTTAATAGTGATTTTTTACAAATCCCGGAAGCATCTCACGTAGAAATAAATAGTTTTTTTTCATGGATGTATAACGGAATTGGAACCAAAACCAATACAAATGTTTGCAACTAGCCCATTAAAATCAACAGTTAATTCCTCACAAT